TTCTGTAGGACCTTGTTCTGTGGGTGTCTACTTGAGTATGTTGCTCAGGACCTTGTTCTGTGGGGTTGAGGTCGGTGTGTAGATGAGGGACCTTGTTCTGTGGGTGTGAGGGCGGTATGTTGTGTAAGACCTTGTTCTGTGGGTGTGAGGGCGGTATGTTGAGTAGGACCTTGTTCTGTGGGGTTGAGGTCTCCCATGTATCAGTACATTGAGATGACTGCCAGCTCAGGATGAGTTGAGTAACAAAGCACACTCTACTTGAGATGACTGCCAGCTCGGGATGAGTTGAGTAACAAAGCACACTCTACTTGAGATGACTGCCAGCTCAGGATGAGTTGAGTAACAAAGCACACTCTATGCTCCCACAACTCCTGCAGTTTGTGAGTAAAGATAAATCCTCTTTTTCACACAAACTCTCCCTCCCCCAAAAAACAACACACACCCATACCCCTACCCCCCAAAAAAATAAATAATAAAACCCCAAAGAAATAGAACCCCCCACAAACAACATAGCAACAAAACTGCTCATTTAGATCAGTGATTCCTGCGGATTGTGCAGCATTGCGCCAGAGACTGTCAAAGAAATATGTAGACTATTTCAGCTGTAATTCTGTTCAGTAAAGATTTCCTTATATCTGAGGGATATGTGACAGACGTGTGACGTGTGTGACTGTCAGATCAGACTTCCTTCTATGACATTCTGTGCCTCCTGTTTATTTCACCTGTCTCACTCAGAGGAGTCACCATCATCGTTATGTCAACAGTGATCTATGGCATCAGTGATGTATGACGACATGTACCAATATTACAGTCATGTCAGTGACTGTCGTTGGTACAGCTTTTGATTCAAGTACCATGGGCACAACCATTAAGGGACCCTACAACATATATATTTCTAAATTCTGATGTGAACATATTGGCATATTTTGCTCACTTCTGACTTCTGAGTTTCTGTCTTATATCCTAGGAATACAAGTGATATATCAGTGTCTTATGTCCTAGGATTACAAGTGATATATCAGTGTCTTATGTCCTAGGAATACAAGTGATATATCAGTCTTATGTCCTAGGAATACAAGTGATATATCAGTGTCTTATATCCTAGGAATACAAGTGATATATCAGTGTCTTATGTCCTAGGATTACAAGTGATATATCAGTGTCTTATGTCCTAGGAATACAAGTGATATATCAGTCTTATGTCCTAGGATTACAAGTGATATATCAGTGTCTTATGTCCTAGGAATACAAGTGATATATCAGTGTCTTATGTCCTAGGAATACAAGTGATATATCAGTGTCTTATGTCCTAGGAATACAAGTGATATATCAGTGTCTTGTCCTAGGAATACAAGTGATATATCAGTCTTATGTCCTAGGAATACAAGTGATATATCAGTGTCTTATGTGTTTCTGTGTTTCTGGACATTCAGACCTACTCAGCTGAAACCATACAAAATGATGTTTCTGGGCGCTTTAGACCTACTCTGCTGAAACCATACAAAATGTGTTTCTGGACGTTCAGACCTACTCTGCTGAAACCATACAAAATGTGTTTCTGGACGTTCAGACCTACTCTGCTGAAACCATACAAAATGTGTTTCTGGGCGCTCAGACCTACTCTGCTGAAACCATACAAAATGTGTTCTGGATGTTCAGACCTACTCTGCTGAAACCATACAAAATGTGTTTCTGGACGTTCAGACCTACTCTGCTGAAACCATACAAAATGTGTTTCTGGATGTTCAGACATACTCAGCTGAAACCATACAAAATGTGTTTCTGGACGTTCAGACCTACTCTGCTGAAACCATACAAAATGTGTTTCTGGACGTTCAGACCTACTCTGCTGAAACCATACAAAATGTGTTTCTGGACGTTCAGACCTACTCTGCTGAAACCATACAAAATGTGTTTCTGGACGTTCAGACCTACTCTGCTGAAACCATACAAAATGTGTTTCTGGATGTTCAGACCTACTCTGCTGAAACCATACAAAATGTGTTTCTGGACGTTCAGACCTACTCTGCTGAAGCCATACAAAATGTGTTTCTGGACGTTCAGACATACTCTGCTGAAACCATACAAAATGTGTTTCTGGACGTTCAGACATACTCAGCTGAAACCATACAAAATGTGTTTCTGGATGTTCAGACCTACTCTGCTGAAGCCATACAAAATGTGTTTCTGGACGTTCAGACATACTCTGCTGAAACCATACAAAATGTGTTTCTGGACGTTCAGACCTACTCAGCTGAAACCATACAAAATGTGTTTCTGGACGTTCAGACATACTCTGCTGAAACCATACACAATGTGTTTCTGGACGTTCAGACATACTCTGCTGAAACCATACACAATGTGTTTCTGGACGTTCAGACCTACTCTGCTGAAACCCCAGTAACACACGCACAAACTCCCCAGACAACAGCACCACAGCAATTATATTTCCAATCTACTGTTTTTTATAGATAATGTGTGAGTGTAATGTCCAACAGAATATACTTAAGATCTTAATTATTCTGTTTACTTGTAGATCAGCCTGAATGTTGGTCATGGGCTGTTTAATAGGGCAGATGTTTACTACAGTGAATATCATAACAATAGTCATATATCTTTGGTGTGCCTATAACATTCCTATTAGATGCCAGGGGTGTCTTTGAAAAACTCTATAATACCATATTACCAGTGATGTTAACGTAATATACATTTTCATGTACAAAGTTTGTTTGTTCACCTTCGATGATATGACGCAGTTTTGAGTGGACACAATACATGAAATAGCAGTTATGCAATGCACATGGAAAATACAATTTTACTTGGCCTTTATTCTGTATTATCTGTCTTATAATGCTTGAGGTGGGGGTGGGGGTGGGTTGGTAGACTTGTGGTTGAAGTGTTCGCTTGTCATGCCAAAGACCCGGGTTCAATTCATCACCATATGGGTACAATGTGTGAAGCCCATTTCTGGTGTCCCAGGCATGATATTTCTGGAATATTGCTAAAACCGGCGTAAAACTAAACTCACTCCCTCATAACGCGTGGTGTAGGGGGGAAATATCATTCATGAACCCCAAGATCCCTGTTGTGGCAAGGGATGCATGTATCAGTGATTTTATATGAGTCTCATGTTTTGTGCACATGCAACGCACATGCTCTGCATGTGCTACCTGTATCATGCATGTGCGCTGCCCGCATGTCCAGTCTTGTGAGGAACACATACATCATACTGACAACCATCGTTCTTCACAGCGATCCTTCGTAACCAAGTTGGTCAAACTGACAGTCTCACAGTGATTGAGACAACCATCATTCTTCACAGCGATCCTTCAGTAACCAAGTTGGTCAAACTGACAAATCACGTAACCAAGTTGGTCAAACATCATCCTTCAGAACTGACAACCATCATTCTTCACAGCGATTCTTCAGAACCAGTTGGTCAAACTGACAACCATCATTTCAAACTTCACAATCCGTAACCAAGTTGGTCAAACTGACAGCATCATTCTTCACAGCGATAACCAAGTTGGTCAAACAGAACCAAGTTGGTCAAACTGACAACCATCATTCTTCACAGCGATCCTTCGTAACCAAGTTGGTCAAACTGACAACCATCATTCTTCACAGCGATCCTTCGTAACCAAGTTGGTCAAACTGACAACCATCATTCTTCACAGCGATCCTTCGTAACCAAGTTGGTCAAACTGACAACCATCATTCTTCACAGCGATCCTTCGGTCAATAACCAAGTTGGTCAAACTGACAACCATCATTCTTCACAGCGATCCTTCGTAACCAAGTTGGTCAAACTGACAGCCATCATTCTTCACAGCGATCCTTCTTAACCTAGCTGGTCAAACTGACAACCATCATTCTTCACAGCGATCCTTCGTAACCAAGTTGGTCAAACTGCCAAGTTGGTAAGCGAAGGGTTCCAGGTTCGAAACCTTTCATTGGTACAATATGTTGGAAGTTTTCAATAATGTAATATTTTACGATCGTATTCAGTAATAGCAAGACAAAGTTATATCAATCTTCAAAACTTGTACAAGTAAAATAATTCTAAGTTAAGGGGTATTCCTCAGTAGATCTGCAGGCATTCTGAGGAAAATCCCAGATCCCAGTGCATTCTGTAGAAACTCTGCAGGATTTCTTGGAGAATGACCATGAAACTGCCTGTAGAGGTTTACTCTGTGAAAGGAGAACCTGAGAGATAATGGAGTGATGTCACTGGAAATTTATGAATGATTGTTATACCTGTGATATATGAATGTTATACCTGTGATATATGAATGTTATACCTGTGATATATGATTGTTATACCCTTGATATATGAGTGTTATACACATCATGTATGAATGTTTACCTGTGATATTACTACTTGTAGCATTGTGATGAGGGGTATACAGGGTTTTATCATCCATATGTGTTAAAATACGTCATGACATATTTTCGATACGTTGCACATGTGTAATGAACCTTAGATTCCAAAATTGTAAAATGTAATAAAGAAATTAACACACTCGCATAGATGTCATATTGTATCACTCGTGTGGTAATTACAATATGACATCTAAGCTCGTGTATTAATCTCTATTAATGCGTCCCGTGTTAGGTTTTATCAACCTCGCTGAAGGCAATGGTACAACAAATTTATCTTACTTAATGTTTAAATCTCTCATTATATAAATATAACATAAAGACAAACTGAAATTCAGTCATATATCTTACTAACATTGTACCGACTAGTGGATCCAAACCATGGATGCATGCTTTTTACATGGGGCGGGGTATAAATGATTTAGTCTCCCTTGCAAAGATTTATACCCTGCTTGGGCTGTTCACGGCCGTGCACTGGGCATACTTGGTAACTTGTTCAGGGTCTAGTGGACCAATCAGAGATCACGATTCTTGCGTGAGGTACAATACATGACTATTATACCTGTGTAATATGAGTACCATGATATATGAGTGTTGTACTATACAGTCTGTTGTGTCAGCAGATCCTGGTGATGAGAGCAACCCGACCCAGGCCCTACAGCTGAGTTTTGAGCTGGCTCTGAAGGAGCGGGACGCAGTGTTGCGGGAGAAATCTCAGGCGCTGGAGGAGCGGGATACCGCCGTGCGGCAGTTACAACACATCAAGTCGGAGCGAGACCACGCTCTTGCCAGCCTCGAAAACCTGACGGGGAAACCAGCCAAACTCAGCAACACGTAATGACTCTTTCCTTGCTCTTGACACTTCAGTTTCAGTCACATTAGTTACAAAATCATCCATTACAGATATGCTGTGTTAAGTCAGAACAACATTATGTTTGTATTCTAATGTTCAGGCTCTCTCAAATCGGTTCTCTAGTAACAATATGAAAACTTTCACATCACTGTTGGTATCTACCCTTAAACACTGTTGGTATCTACCCTTAAACACTGTTGGTATCTACCCTTAAACACTGTTGGTATCTACCCTTAAACACTGTTGGTATCTACCCTTAAACACTGTTGGTATCTACCCTTAAACACTGTTGTGTCAAGGTAGCAGGGTTGTCCAAGGTTTGACTCAACTGCAGGCATTACAAACACATGCGTTACACGTGCGTTACAGACACTTGTGTTAGACACTTGTGTTTCAGACACTTGTTACAAAGAAGTGCATTACATACACGTGCGTTAGACACTTGTATTACAAACACTTGTGTTAGAGATGCTTGTTACAAACACGTGCATAACAAACGTGCGTTACAGATACTTGCATTACAGACACTTGTGTTACAGACACCTGTATTACAAACACATGCATTACAGACACTTGCGTTACAAACTCATCCGTTACAGACACTTGCATTACAGACACGTGCGTTACAGACATGTGCGTTACAGACATGTGCGTTACAGACACGTGCGTTACAGACACGTGCGTTACAGACACGTGCGTTACAGACACGTGCGTTACAGACACTTGCCTTACAGACGTGCATTACAGACACGTGCGTTACATAAATATCCGTTACAGACACGTGTGTTACATACATATCCGTTACAGACACTTGTGTTACATACATATCCGTTACAGACACGTATGTTACATACATATCCGTTACAGACACGTGTGTTACATATCCGTTACAGACACGTGTGTTACATACACGAGCGTTACAGACACTTGTGTGACAAACACTTAGATTACACGCACATCAGTTGCAGACACATGTTACAGACACGTGTGTTACAAGCACCGACACATCAGTTACAAACACACCAGTTCCAGACACAACCATTCCAGACGGGTTTGTACACCTGAACACAGTGTCATCCATCTGACCCAGCCGCTGTGTCACTTGGTTACCAGTGTCAAGTTCTAAATATTTGTACACAAGTTTGTTATCTCAAAACCAATACAGACTTATTGATGAGAGCAACTAACATTATCACAGTTTATTAGAAAGGATGCCTGCTGGTTAAACAGTTCCCTTATTTGTTGCCATCAGTATAGATGTTTGCTCTGCAACACCTGCTGCCGTTTCATGTTGCTGCCTCTTGACTGGTGTTGATCTGTTGCTAGGAGACAGCTGGAGGGAAGTAGCCCAATACTGGGCAGTCCCAGCCTCAGCAAGAGGACAGCGTCACCGGGACGGCGCGGAACACGAGACAAACTCAACATGGACAGCGATGTCGAAGTGGAAGAGGTGAGTTATTTCCCTTTAATGCATCTATCACAGGAGTTGGGTTGTCAATATGAACCTTCTCCTGGAGAATGGTGCTTCTTTGTGTTGCTTCCACAAACTGCCTGTGCTACTGTGGGGCTACAGGTGTCTGGCTTGATACCTTGTGTGAAGACAGGTACATATTTGACCAGTATGTAGTATAGAGTCAGTCACATTCTTGGTGTATCATATAAACCTGGGTGTATGCGTAGTTTATTCTATAGAACCAAGCATATAGTGTTGATCCAGGTGTATTCCTGTCTATTGTATAGATCCAGGAAGGCACCTGGATATTGTGTGGACCCAAATATATGCCCAGTGTATTTCATTAAGGCATGTGTATACAAGGTGTATAACATAGAGCCAGGTGAATGCCTGTTGTGAAGAGGCAGGTTATAACTGGTGTATTCTGTAGAGCCATGTTTGTCTGGTGTATTGTGTAGGGCCAGGTATATGCCCACTGTATTCTGTAGAGCAAGGGTGTATTGTGTAGAGCCAGTGGGTATGTGTAGAGGCCAGGTATATGCCCACTGTATTGTGTAGAGCCAGGTATCAGTGCCAGGTATCAGCCCAGTGTAGTATTGTGTAGAGTGTAGCTAGAGCCAGGTATAAGCCCCAGTGTAGTGTATTGTGTAGAGAGCCAGGTAGAGCCAGGTATCAGCCCAGTGTAGTTAGAGCCAGGTATAAGCCCAGTGTAGTATTGTGTAGAGCCCAGCCCAGTATTGTAGAGTAGAGCCAGGTATAAGCCCAGTGTAGTATGTGTGTGTAGAAGCAAGGTATAAGCCCAGTGTAGTATTGTCTAGAGCCAGGTATAAGCCCAGTGTATTGTGTAGAGTGTGTAGAGCCCAGTGTATAAGCCCAGTGTAGTATTGTGTAGAGCCAGGTATAAGCCCACTGTATTGTGTAGAGCCAGGTATAAGCCCAGTGTGTAGTGTAGTATTGTCAGTGTAGAGCCAGGTATAAGCCCAGTGTAGTATTGTGTAGAGCCAGGTATATGCCCAGTATAAGCCCAGTGTAGGTATTGTAGTATTGTGTAGAGCCAGGTATAAGCCCAGTGTAGTATATTGTGTCTAGACCCAGGAGCCAGGTATAAGAGCCAGTGTAGTATTGTGTAGAGCCAGGTAGGTATAGAGCAAGGTATAAGCCCAGTGTAGTATTGTGTATAAGCCCACTGTATTGTGTAGAGCAAGGTAGAGCCAGGTATAAGCAGTGTAGTAGTGTATTGTGTATCGTGTAGAGCCAGGTATATAAGCAGTGTAGTATTGTCTAGAGCAAGGTATAAGCCCAGTGTAGTATTGTGTGTAGTATGCGTGTAGAGCCAGAGCCAGGTAGGTATATAAGCCCATTGTGTAGTATGTGTAGTATTGTGTAGAGCCAGGTATAAGCCCAGGTAGAGCCAGGTATAAGCCTACTGTATAGTGTAGAGCCAGGTATAAGCCCAGTGTAGTATCATATACTAATGGTTGTGTTGTGTTTGGGCTGGACAGAGGCGGAGACATGTCAAGAGACGGGTAAGTGGCTGTGTTCTAACTGTGGGCTGCTGGGATGAGGCGTGTCAGGGAGCCTCCGTGTGTGCTGGTCACACGGGACCTACAGTTATTGTCACACGGGACCTACAGTTACTGTCACACGGGACCTACAGTTACTGTCACACGGGACCCACAGTTACTGTCACACGGGACCTACAGTTACTGTCACACGGGACCTACAGTTACTGTCACGCGGGACCTATAGTTAGAGTCTCACAGGTTTCGGCATGTGCTCAGAATACATTACATGAAGTGGCTGTAAAATCCCACATAACCCGTGTGCCTGACAGGTCACTGTGTGACATTCTCTTGTGTGAACAGCTGTGTGTCACTCATGCCAGGCTCCCTGACAGCCAATAGACTAGAGTTGTCTCCCCTGGGTGGAGAGTTTGTCCCCACTAGGTGGTGCTGTGTTTGTCTTGTTTTCTGTGATTGACAACTGTTTGGTGGGTTCACCAAGAATAACCATCACTTACTTTCTTGTGTGGTGTGGTTTTAATTTTCTTTTTCTGACATTTTTACAACTTTGCATGACTTTATGCTTTTGACAACAGGGAGTAAGTCTTGAGATGAGTGTGAGGCATGGTTGTCTTTGCCGTATCAATATCGGTTAGTCCGGTGTGTGATTAGTTGTCTGTGTCCCGTGGACATGTTGTCTGTTCATATCATAATTGTTTATGTGTGTGTAGTGTTGTCCCTATATGTGAGCAGAGTCGGAAGGACTTTTCTCTCATCATATAGCTATTCTCAGAATATTATGCTCAGATTTTTGTTCCCCCTTCTGCAACGCAGAACGGGGGACTATGTAGTCAGCAGCGTCTGTACCAACATACATATATACCTGTTCTTGTACATGATATCTCATGCACTGTTGTACCCAATGTCTTCAAATTTGGTGACAGCCTACATGGGGGATTTCACAGACACCAGTCGACTTTGGTGACCTTGACTTATTTTCAAGGTCACCACGACACTTTGACCACTTTTCAAACTCTTGTTAACACGATATCTCATGCATTGTTGTACCCAATATCTTCAAATTTGGTGACAGCCTACTTTAGGGGATTTCGCAGACACCAGTCGATCTACTTGACCTTGATTTTATTTTCAAGGTCACCACGACATTTTCACTACTTTTTAAACTTATGTAAATGTGATATCTTATAAAATGTTGCACCCAATTTAAGCCTCTGAGCTGTAGAATATATTTACAAGTTTGATGTCAGGAATTAACATAATGGGTATCGGAGTAGGGTAATTGGGGGGTGGTACCTGGGTAGAAATTGTCAATTGTTGAGCATGGGGTGTTGTACTCCCAGCTAATTGTTGGGCATGGGGTGTTGTACTCCCAGCTAATTGTTGGGCATGGGGTGTTGTACTCCCAGCTAATTGTTGGGCATGGGGTGTTGTACTCCCAGCTAATTGTTGGGCATGGGGTGTTGTACTCCCAGCTAATTGTTGGGCATGGGGTGTTGTACTCCCAGCCAATTGTTGGGCATGGAGTGATGTACTCCCAGACAATTGTCAGTCCAGTGTACATACACCCATATACATATACCTGTGTACATACACCGATATACATATACCTGTGTACATACACCCATATACATATACCTGTGTACATACACCCATCTACATATACCTGTGTACATACACCCATCTACATATACCTGTGTACATACACCCACATACATATACCTGTGTACACACAACCATATACATATATCTGTGTACATACACCCATATACATATACCTGTGTACACACACCCATATACATATACCTGTGTACACACAACCTTATACATAAACCTGTGTACACACACCCATATACATATACCTGTGTACATACACCCATATACATATACCTGTGTACATACACCCATCTACATATACCTGTGTACATACATCCATATACATATACCTGTGTACATACACCCATATACATATACCTGTGTACATACACCCATATACATATACCTGTGTACACACACCCATATACATATACCTGTGTACACACAACCATATACATATACCTGTGTACACACACCCATATACATATACCTGTGTACATACACCCATATACATATACCTGTGTACATACACCCATCTACATATACCTGTGTGCATACACCCATATACATATACCAGTGTGTACACACACCCATATACATATACCTGTGTACACACAACCTTATACATATACCTGTGTACACACAACCATATACATATACCTGTGTACATACACCCATATACATATACCTGTGTACATACATTCATCTACATATACCTGTGTACATACACCCACATACATATACCTGTGTACATACACCCATATACATATACCTGTGTACATACACCCATCTACATATACCTGTGTACACACACCCATATACATATACCTGTGTACATACACCCATATACATATACCTGTGTACACACAACCATATACATATATATGTGTACATACACCCATATACATATACCTGTGTACACACACCCATATACATATACCTGTGTACACACAACCATCTACATATACCTGTGTACATACACCCATATACATATACCTGTGTAAACACACCCATATACATATACCTGTGTACACACACCCATATACATATACCTGTGTACACACAACCATCTACATATACCTGTGTACACACACCCATATACATATACCTGTGTACATACACCCATATACATATACCTGTGTACACACAACCATATACATATATCTGTGTACATACACCCATATACATATACCTGTGTACACACACCCATATACATATACCTGTGTACACACAACCATCTACATATACCTGTGTACATACACCCATATACATATACCTGTGTACATACACCCATGTACATATACCTGTGTAAACACACCCATATACATATACCTGTGTACACACCCATATACATATACCTGTGTACACACACCCATATACATATACCTGTGTATACACAACCATCTACATATACCTGTGTACACACACCCATATACATATACTTGAACCTACACAAAGTACAAGATATATTCTACATTCTCTGTACTGGACAATTATAGTACTGAACGACACTGCCTTCCTCTGAGACTAGACATGTTATTGCTTATTTCAAAATGATAACCAACTTGTTGCAAGTGTCATTTATGTGAAAACACAACCACTTCCCTGACATGTCAGTGAAAGACCATATCTTTAGAATGAAGCGATGTTGTTCTTCAACTAGGCTATTGTGACTTAGCCCAACTGTCATTCATTGTGTTTCATTATTCATGCAACTTGTATAGTAATTTGAAAATAATATTTAATGTCTCTATACATTGTGAACATTTTTTTATGCATTTATCTTTCATTTTTACAATGTGTTTACTCTCAGATATAGCTATTTGTATCCGGTCCCGTCGTGTAGATATAGATATTTGTATCCGGTCCCGTGAGATTGTCGTGTAGAATATTAAATGTTTGATTCTGGAGTTCCTGACTCTCGGTCGTCAGCAGTGCTCCTCCACCCTAACTCCATATCTGTCCTTCCCCCCTTCCCTGATTTCCGCTGCCTCCACCCTCCAGCTATCCTCCCGACAGACCACCCAGAGTACAGGTCAGAGGTTAATGGTGTTTAACCTGTCCTCGTTAGGGAGGTAATTAATTAATGTCCGTGGACCATGGAGACAATGGACAACCAGAATATCCCCAACACTTGGCTGTAAACATGCCGGTGGTTAATTGTAAGTCATCCTGCTATGATACTTTACCATGCTTCACACTGACCATGAGGAGAACTTGCTCCCAAATGCTTCCATGCCGTGTAGAGCAGATTGGTGTTAACATGTTAGCTATGGCCATACATTTCCATCTTCATCATCATCATCATCATCAGCATCATCATCATCATCATCATCATCATCATCATCATCATCATCATCATCAGGATGGTTTAATTGATGACCCTTTGAATAATATTTTTTATTGCAGTTTTGGCCAACTAACAAAAAACATATACAAATTACAATGGCAATTATTATTGTATAGTCTCCAGAATGCTCAGCATGTGTAGGTTATTGTTTGTCTGTGATATGAACCATCACTGAGAACAAGCACCTGCTATCCAGCATTGTGTGACCTGGAGGCTATCATCCCATAATGACCTGCACTGCACAGGTCATCACAAACAATGTACCACCAGGTTTTAATGGCCAACCCCTGACCTCAAGGCGTGTGTAAAGGGAGATAACTGCGTATGTATCCAGCTAATTCTGCTAATGGCCAAGTTAGTGTCAATGGTTATGAGCGCCCTGTATCTACGTGGTTGTTGTGATATGATAATGTCTGTGTACTGAAGCACTGGGCTGGGAGTCAGGTGAGATGACGACTGACTGGGATGTGTAATTGCCTCTTCTATCATGGTGATTAAGAATAAACAATGTTATTAACCAGTACGCTTTTTGGACACTGGAATAATCATAAAAATACACACTGTACAGGGTTTCACATTGTGGCCTTGACACATTTTTAAACCATCACTTCATATGACTTTTCAGGACAAAAATAAGGAGGAACATTTACAGAAAGGTTGATGAAATCTTGAAAATTGTTCTAATTTGGCGGAAGGTTGCAGGTTCGATCCCCGATCGCGTCGATAAAATATGGTACTTGTTGGTCCCTGCCTGGCGCTCGGCATTAATGGGTACAACAAGGACTGGTACCCATTATACTCGGAGTCAGTATAATGTGTCTGAGTGGGGTATTCATGCTTCACTGCGGCATGGTATCTCAGTGGGCTAGCACTATAAAACCAGCTTCAGTCTGGGCTAGTACAAGCAGCCGCAAATACACATACACACGCATGCACGTCGTCATATGAGTGAAATATTCTCAAGTACGACATTAAACCCAATTTCACCTCACCTCACCTCCTATTGTATTGTCATTGGTGTTGTGCTGTTGATGGAAGCAGTGTTGAGCAGTCATTGTAT